AACAGCTGTGAAAGACTGGGGTAGAAACAGTGTCTTTCTTTAAAAGGAAGAAGACAAAGTACAGGTTACCTATCAAATAGGAAATAAAGGCAATTTTAGGAAAAAAATAAGTTTCTTAAAAGTGTTAATAAAACATACCACTTATAAGGTAATGGGGAATAATGCTTTCATTTCTTTAACTATTTAAGTTGGTCAGAGGAAAAGCAGTTCTGTCTCTATTCTGAGTACCACACTCCAGAACAATAGTGAATGTTTACTAAACTCCAGAAAATGAGCTAAGCATTTGAAATAATTTATGTTTCTTTACAGTGTTGAAGTAACTGAAGCAAAGAGTTTCAGTTACTAGTTCAGGCCACTAAGGATACTTAAAACGTTGTTGTTGTTGTGTTGTTGTTTTATTATGTGCCGCTGAGTTGCCTGTGACTCATAGCGACCCTATGTACAACAGTTTTTAACCCTGCTCTGTCTTGTGCCAATCTCACTGTCTCTGATACATCCACCTGAATTATCCCAGTCACTGAATCAATCCACCTCATAGAGGGCCTTTCCCTCCTGTGCTGTCCCTCCACCCTCCCAAGCATGACATTCTTCTCCAAGGACCGGTCCCTCCTTAAAACATGTCCAAAGTATATCAGACGATGTTTCAGAATCCTTGCTTCCAAGGAGCAGCCTGGTTTAACCCTCTCCAGGATGAACCTGTTTGTTTTCCTAGCAGTCCATGGTATATTCATTAGCTAAATTATTTTAAGTATACCAAACACTTCAGCTTTTAAAATAACTTTGTAGGTTTTTATTATGATACCATCAGATAGGAGAGCATGACCAAAGAAGAATGGCATAGAGCATTTAAGTCATTTGGGATTCAAGGTCAAAGTTTGAGGAAAATGAAGAATGGCCCTTTATCTTGATGCTTTTGAGGTACACTTTAGAGGATCTTAGAATAAAATTTATTAATCTCTTCAACAATTTTTTTTATCTCTACAGATTTATTATGTTTCCAGAATTCATAAAACACAGCTTGGGAAAAAGAATTTAACTGTTTGTATGGAGGAGCTTGAGGTAGTCGATTGAACTTGTTGAGTTGAAATCGACTCAGAGCTGACCCTTCAGTGGATTCTCCAGGTTGTAAATGGTGCAGGAGGAGATTGCCCATCTCTGAACTGCAAATCCAGAGTAGTGCAACTCCTGAAGGATTACCTGACCAAAGATCCTCTGGAATTGATTAGTTCTCCAAGTACAATATACACTATCTTAGAACAATAAGTAGGGCTAGCTAACTAGTTTGTGACATAACCTTTCAAACCAGTATGAAATAAAGGTAGATTTATGACTAAAAATCAAAGTATTCTATTTTGACAAAAAAGATTAAACTCTTGGTGGGAGCTCTGCTCCCAACTCCAACCTGATAACCGATTTCAGTTCTACAGTGAACTGAGCAAAACTTCCCAGCCACATGAAGAAAAGCTGTCTGTGCCAGATATTCTGGGCCTTGAAGACAGTCCTTTCTGGGAATTAGCCGTATTATTTACAGTGTTTGGATAGCAACTGAAAACACAGTCAAAATCTGTCTTGTATTTTAGAGGAAAAATAATGAAGCGTTTCATCTAGGAGAAAAGAGGATGTGTCACATAATACAGGAAAAAGATCTTTCTGTGGGGCATACTCTGCGGGGGCTGGAGATGTGTTTCTATAGGAGACTGGTCACCACGCCACAGCAAATACTAGTCATGGAAGGAATGGAAACATTTACTTAAGAATTTTCTGGACTTTATTTGACTATGGAGCTCTATCCTATCAGGTTCTGCAAATCCACTATCAACTATTCAGTTCTTATTTTATACTTGTAACTACCTTAACCTACAGCTAAACCAAATTAAAACAAAGATGGGCAGTCTCCTCCTTTGCAATTAACTGCTTTTGAAAACCCTACGGATGGTCAGCTATGGGTTGGTTCTGATTCAATGGTACTTTATACCACCATCACACTTAACCAACAATTAAAGCAAATAAAAATAAAGACGAACAGGTAAAACTTACTTCTGATTATTAGGATAAAACTTTGAGAATAAGCCATCTTTAGCTGGTTCAGTCAAACAGGGCAGATTAACATATAACGGTATCTATATGAAAGAGAGGCCCAGATCACATATTATGTCCTAGGGCTAGTGTGGAGGTGACATGATTAGGCCTCCAGTGAGTCGTGAGCTGAGAGAGAACATCCTTCCGATGCATCACAACTACTCTGGTCTCCAATTCTTTCAAATTTAGTTCAATTTAATGAAGTCAGAGGAAACATCAAAAAATCTATTTATTCCTTTTGCTTTAGCCTCCCCCAAATACATGATCTTCCTGGAAAAGAACATGGTTTATCACTGATGAGAATGTTAATTCCCCCCACCCGCACCCCAAGGTTTTAGCCTGTAAGTACTCATTTAAAAGTTCAGGGTTTGTTTTTTTTTGTTTTTTTTTTTTCTTCTTTTTTTAAGTAATTGAAGAACTGTTGCTCTTCTGTTATTGTTGTTATGTGCCGTCAAGTCGTTTGCGACTCATAGCGACCCTATATACAACAGCCCTAAACCCTGCTCTATCCTGTGCCAATCGCACTGCCTCTGACACTCGCATCCCGATTACCCCAGTCACTGAATCAATCCACCTCATACAGGGTCTTTCTTCCCCTCCTGCGCTGTCCCTCCACCTTCCTAAGCATGATGTCCTTCTGCAAGGACCTGTCCCTCCTTGCAACATGCCCAAAGTATGTCAGACGAAGCCCCAGAATCCTTGCCTCCAAGGAGCAGCCTGGTTAGGAAACATTTTAATCCAGTTAATTATGACTTTGAGTGAACAAATGCGCTGTGCTTGTGGATATCATGACTTCAATACGTAAGAAGTCTCATCAACTACCTGCCATCATGCAGATGACACAATCTTGCCTGCCAAAAGTGAAGAGGGCTCAAAATATTTGCTGCAGTATATCAAAGATAACAGCCTTCAATACAGGGCACAGCTCAACATCAGAAAAACAAAAATTCTCACCATTAGACCTATAGGCAACATCATGATAAATGCAGGAAAGACTGAAGTTGTTAATGATTTAATTTTACTTCAATCTACAATCAATATCCATGGTAACTAAAAATGTGTTACATTGGGAAAATCTGCTGTTAAGGATCTCTCCACCATGTTAACAAGCAACAATGTCAACTTAAAGACTAGAGTCATTGGATCAAAGACATAGACTTTTCAATTACTTCCTTATGCATCTGAAAGTTGGGCAATGAATAAAGATGACAGAAGAGAAATTGATGTCTTTGAATAGTGGTGTGTTGAAGAAGAGTACTGAATATACTATGGACTGTCAAAAGAATAAACATGTCATACTCAACCAGGGTGCTCCTTAGAGCTAAGGATGGTGAAACTTCCTCTCACGCTGGACATGCCACCAGGAGGAGCCAGTCGTTGAAAAAGACATCATACTGGGAAAGGTAGAAATTCAACCAAACAGACTGACACAGGACCGTAGCAGTGGGCTCTATCATGGAGGGTGAGGATGGTGAATGTCAGGATACGGTCCGGATATTCTGTTCACAGGGTCATTATGAATCTCAGCTGACTCGGTTGCATGGAACAATAATATGCATAGTTTTAAGAGACAATTGGTCTTCAGTCTACTATTATCAGTGGCAGTCCTTTTGCTTATCTAACCAAAAATGTATCCCAGTCTCTTTGTCCTTCATAAACCTGACCTTTCTGAAGAGCTCAGGACCAACTATTTAAAGAATATCCTTAAATTCTGTTTGCCTAAAGTTTCTTCATGTACAGAACCAAATTACACACGTCTGTTAACATTAAAGAAGTATTACTATGTCTTTCTCTTCAGATAAAAAAGCAAATGGTATTAGTTTTATTAATGGTGATGCAAATGTTGATCACTTCAACAAGATGGTGTTTTGCAGATTTCTCTACTGTCAAGCTCATGAGAAACAAGTAACGTTTTTCCCAGATTACAAGTTGTTGTTATCGAACCGCCTGGGACTCATAGAAACCTTACGTAAAATAGCTCTAAATCCTGCCCTATGCAGAGCCAGTCTCACTGACTCCACCACACCTAATCCCATTGTAATCCAGCTCATCCTGGGTCTTCCTCACCTTTGCTGTCCCTCCACCCTTCCAAGCATGATGTCCGTCTCCAAGGACTTGTCCCTCCTGGCCAAGTGCCCAAACTACGTGACACAGAGCTTCAAAATCCTCGCCTCCAAGGGAAAACTTGGTTTCACCCTTTCCAAGACAGACCTATTTGCTCTCCTGGTGGTTCATAGTATGCTCAATATTCTTCTCCAGCACCACAATTCAAATTAAAAGTAGACATTTAATCCAGATTACAAGTGGACATAACTAAATGTAACTTGTGTTCCTTGATGAGATTCTGGACTCCAAATTTACTGAGATAACGGAAGAAATTTTAATAAAGTGTACATATTAGACCAAAGAATTTTATCAATGTTAATTTACAGATGTATATTATCCCACCATGATAATGTCAGAAGATACTTTCGGAAACTCAGCAACAAAAGAAAAATGGTGATTCTGCATACACATTTTGTAACTTTTTTTAAGGTCAAAACAAAATGTTAAAACATGTCTCAGGTTTAAGATCAAAAACTTTATGAATTAAGGAGACTTTTATGTAGTAATAGGAAGGTCACAAAGGTTCTATTTCAATGCTGGGTCACTCATTCAGAAGAAAAGGCAGGAAGAGTTTGAGAAGTTATAGGGCGTAAAGAAGAAAAATGATGGGGAAAAAAGTTTCAGTGAGAAAAGACGTTTCAATGTGTGCAAACCCACTTGCTTTAAGTTGTTGACTACTCATCTTGGCCCTATGAAAAAGCAGAATTTTCCCATTGAGTTTTAGAGGCTGGAATCATTAGAAAGCAATCTGCTTCATGTTTCTCCTGCTTAAATGTGTATATTCAAGAATAATACTCATAATTCCGTATACTCACTTTCTAGTCCAGAATGGGTGATCGTCATTAGTGAGATGGATTTTGTCAACGGCGAAGAAATTGCTGACGTACAGTAATTGAATCCTTGCTGTTTAGATCTGTGACTTATCTGTGAAGTGAAAAAATTAAAAATCAGGTTCTGAGTATATATACTTTCCTACACCTAGATAAACATAAAATTCTAAACTCAAATATAACATGGTATAAAAGAAGGCATCATAGAAGGGGTGCTAATAGCATCAGATTTGTAGTTAGATTTGAATTCAAGACTCTACTCTCACTACCTAATAACTGTTCACTTCAAAGATATTACTTTATTTCCCTGGACCTCACTTTACTCACCTATAAAACAGGGCAAATCAGTGACCTTTCTTTGCATTTGTTTTAATTCTTCATTTCCTTTATAGTATCTCATAATGCTTCAAACAGTGATATTTACTCTCCATGAACACAATTCATTTCACTGGAAGCATCAATCTATACATAACTATAATGTTTTTTCTTTGAAAATGAACATCTTCTACATAAATGTACCCACCCATGCCTTCCAGTGGGCTTGACACACAATGACCCGACAGGACACAGTAGAATTATGTCACAGGGTTCCGAGGCTGTCAAACTCTACAGAAGCAAACTCCTGTAGAGCAGCTGGTGGGTCTGAATGGCCAACCTTTCAGTCAGCAGCTCAACTCTTAATTTGCTATACTACTAGGGTCAATCTATGCAGAGTGTGGTACATAAGTAATGTTACTCTGATTTCTAAGTCTTGGAAACTGAAGCACATTTAAAAACAGCTTTTGGAAAGAAGCCGGAATCTCATTTTCTACTCTGTGATTAGAAGGATTTAGAGGATAATGCCTGAGATTACATAGCTTCAGAGGGTAATTGAAATTTGACTGATAATTGAAGTTCCTCAGTAAGTCTGCAGTACTTTCAAGGCCACATAATCCAACAACTGCAGCATGCCTTGCTAGAAACCCAGAATGACCGTCGCCTAATGTCTGTGAGCGCATTCCTCATGACGAGGGGCTACCTCCCACCCCATTCCAAGAGTTAACCACCTTTAATTGTCATCAATGAAACCATATAAATTTAGGACAATCTGTGAACTGTCATAAAGCATGGGCTTTTGGGCTAGTAGCCAAGCACTTTAATCACTACGTCAACCAAGACTTCCATATGTGAAAACAGATCACAAAAATCTCTTCGTTGTAGGAACTCGGCTCAGCTGCAATAGAGATGTGTTACTTAAGAGCATGTGCTGTGTGTAATCATGGAATCTCAGGCAAATACTTGCTTTGTCTCACATACAACTCTGAGACCTAAAGAAAGTCTGTACTGTAAAGTGGAGACTTTTAGCAGGAAGTTGACTAGAGGCAACTTGTCTAGATCAATGATCTAGAAGCAGCTTGAATACCCACTGTGAGGTGCACACGAGGTAAAAATTGCTGGCTGGCTGGAAGTTATAGGAAGGCCAAACACAGTAAGGCCCTCCCAAAGTTAACTTTATCAACAAAAACAGTCAAAAAAACCCATTTCATACGGACACCATTGGCAATGACATCACTTAATTGGTAAAAAGTCTGTAGGGAAAAGGTATCACCTGAACAGTATCAGAACATTAACTCCCCCTCTTTCTCGTCAATTTGATCAGTAACAGGAGTTCTGAGTTTAATAATGTTCAACCAACAGCGACTTATGAGGCTTTAGGCAAGTCACATAGCTGGGCCTGAAGTTCTCACACACACAAGTCTGAACTGACTTCAAATGGACATACTGGCCCTAAGCTTCTGGTTCTGTCTAGAATTTAGCGGAATTCTAAAGGAAACAGAATTACTTTTTCAGCGTTGTGTTTATCACCAAAGCAGCTTTCCGAAACTATAAAAAAAATTGTTCCAATTTTTCCTTTTCTCTTATAATTAGACTGAATAAATAAAAATTGTTTGTCAACAACAAACATATTTTCTGTAGCTGCATTACTTCCCCGCCTCTAATTTGTTCAAGTATCAAGCCAAGAAGAAATGCAAAAAAGAAACGCCCGTGTAGTAACAGTCTTTCAACCTTTCAGTCTGATTTTCGTGAAGCCTTAAGTTTGTTAGGAGGGGCTGTTCCTTGGAAAGGGACAACATGCTTGGAAAGGTGGTGAAGGTCAGCAAAATAGAGGGAAGCCCTCAACATGATGGACCAACACAGAGACTGCAGCAATGAGCTCAAGTGTATCAGAGAGGATGAGAATGGCACAGGACGAGGCTGGGTTCAGATCTGTTGTTCAAAGGGTTTTTATAAGGCATACTTGACGTGATCTAACAACAACTTTGTCAAAGATCAGTTAACCATAGCATGGGTTGATTGCTTTTCTTGATTCTATTCCATTGATCTATCTACATGCCTGTTGCTGTAACAGTATCATGTGGTCTTGACTACTACGGCTGTGCCGTCGGAAACCACAGCAACTAGTCTTACACTACAGAATTTTAGTCCTGTAATAAGCCATGGTTTTGGAAATAAGAATTTTTCCAAATTAGTAACATATCCCTGTTTTGAGTCTTACCTGCTGACTAAACATCCTATGTTCTCGCTGGCCTGACTCCAGGTCCTCTTCTGAGAGCGACACTAAAGAGTCACCACGCTCCTCACCACCGAATGGAGCTCTGAGCTCTTTGCCGTTTGCAAGAGATGAAGATGGACTGCTTCTGGTGCTTGCTCCTCCTGTCAAGCCTTCCAGACTGAAACTAAACACAAAGCACAAGAGTTCATTGGTTCTGGCTCTGGGTCTTTGAAAGGAAGGAAGACACAAATCCCTGAGCTAGGTCTTCTTTGCATTTATGTTATTGCTACGTCCTTTAGCACGATGATTTCCAAGGGCACTGTACAAATGGGCATTACCAGACCTTCCCCCTCGAATGTCTTAGTATGTGAGAAAAAAATATGACACTCTGTAATATCCCATCTCATTTGACTTACTATGAAAATGTTGAACCATCTGTGGTATTCCCCCAGCCCCAGATAATTTTGTTCCACACTATCATGTGGACAGACTATATTTACCTTATCAGTTTTTGTTTTTTTTTAATATACATGCTCTTTTCCTCAAACTAGCTCTGCTATGACCCCAAAATTAAGTGGCACAGAGACAACACTAGCATAAATAACTTTTGGAAGGAAAACTATGAGACTTGTCTTTGTGCCCATTAAGTTGACCTTCATAAGTGTACATTCAACTGTAGTCGTCTTGGTATTTCTAACTTTACAAGCATGCTTCTACCCTAGAAACCCAACTACTACTTAGGAGCTTTATCATCTCTGCACACCTGGCCAGAAAACAACTGCTTGACAGGTTTTCTGAGAATTGTTAGTTGCAGACAAGCACATTCAACACCTTGAAAGAAAGAAAGCGGGTAGGGAAAAAAGCTAAAAAGCTACTAGGTCTAAGAATATTACATTTCTGTTGTCTTGAGAAAGTTACATCTCAAAACATAGTTGTTGTAGCTGATAATATCTTTAGTTACAAGTGCTGGAACTGGATTTAAAAATACACTAAAGCTATTTAGTCACCTTTCCTCAGGAAAGACAGTACAGTTAATTGCTACAAATAAATTCATTTATGCCAGTCCAGAAGCTTCTGAGTTTGCTTTTTAAAAAAAATCTGCTTATTAAGAACTGAGACCATATGTCTCTATTTTCTTTAATTGGCAAATGAAGCAATGGATTCTGTTTTTCTTATTTCAATATGACAACAGAAATCATGACTAACAACTAGTAAACAACTCTGTAAAACTAATTTTCAATGTGAGGAATAGAAGAGCAGCTAAATGAAGGAGAAATTAATTTCATGTAAACTATCTAAAAGCCTGAGAATACCAGAGTTGTACTTAACACAAAAGTTTTAAAATGTTTCCATAATTAAATCTGGGTGATTGGCAGAGAGACAACCATGAAACAATGGGTCTCTCTGAATTTGGAATTAAAAAAAGATTGGTGGATTTTCGAAGTAAAACTGAAATAAATGTATTTTTTTTATCAGTCTTGTTCCTTACTGGTTTCCTCTAAATTTCTAGGAGCTGGGGAGTGATGGCAGACCAAAACAAATAGCAAAGTATTCTATCACATGCTGGAGACAATTCTGAGCAGAAGACATGGAATCTATAGACAAACAGGATGCATGGGGTAAACTGTGCGACTCCAGGGCTCTACCCCGTCAGGTGGGTTAGTGATGCCCGTAACCGAGCCAACGGAACACTGTGCTCACAGACAAAGCAAGCTTCCAGTAAGCATTCCAGCCACAAAGAAGCCCGCTTCAAGCCAAAGCCCAGATGCCACATTTTACGGCTGCCCATTTGCTGGCTGGGTGTGCAATGATACTATACCTTCTGCAAGTAAAGTCAGCACTCAGGGCAGTAGAGTATTGTACACCAGAGGGACACCAACTCATACTGGAGATGACATCAAAGGCAGAAACGGAAGTGGAGGGAGAGAAGAGGAAACAGGGATAGAGTTATTGGGTTTAAAAAGGAAGAGTGTATAGTCAGAGACAGATGGCAATCTTAAAAAAAAAAAGTACAAATATAATATTAACTCAGAATTAGAAAAAGGTTAGAACAAGAACCAGAGAAATTGTTCTACTCAAGTCCATCTAGAATAATGTGTTAGGAATGAGTATGTGAGCACATTAGAAGTAACAAGTTCAACATAAAGGCAAGAAGTCTAGGGAGCTGTTGACAGAGCCCACTCCTCACCTTCCTCAGGAGGCCTTCTGCTGAGGTGCTGGAGCCCTGCATCAGGGACAGCTCTCTGCACACCCTCCCTGCCCCATCCACAGCACCCAGACAGCAGCAAACTAACCCTTACCCTACAAGACAAACTGCGCTGGGATGAGCTCACCCACGCACCAGATTTATTTATGTGTTTCCATTAAGGACTCATCTAAACCAGCTAATTGAGAAATCCCTCAGTTAAGATACCTAAATAAATGTCACATCTATCTTTAAGCCCAAATCACTAGGCTCAATGAAAGCATATTAACAAGATTTTATTTCCTTGAAGGGATTCCCCCCTTTTTTTAAAAAAAGGAATTTTATAATACTGATTTTGAAATGTATCTTTTTAAGCTTTAGGCAGGCCTATATTCATTTTCCCAGGGGTCCCTCAGTGAAGCACTTGATAAAAAAACAGAGATCTGAACCCATTCTTGGAAGACAGGCCTGGTGATCAATCTGTTTCAGGGCACAGCCTTGCAGACCTCAATGGAGCAGTTCTACACTGCATACTCAAGGGTGCCAGGAGTTGAAATCAACTTGGTGGCAATAAGCATTTATTCCCTCCTCCCACAATAAAAAATAAAATCAAACCTCCACAACCACAAAATAACTGACACTTACTTCCTTGACTATCTCAGTAGTAGGATATCAGTACTCTTAAGTAGCAGGGGCTTAGAATCTGGGATTAGCACCGCTAATACGAATTTCTAATCTGGCATTGGAAATGCTAATACTGGGATTAGAAATAATAGCCTTGAAAATGGCAGGCATTGTGACAGAAACTGCAAGATTTGTTATGAAAAGAAAGCTATCATTTAAAAATATTTTGTCATTATTAAGGATCTTGAATGGCACACCTTAGTTTTGGCATACCTTAGTTTTAAAGAGGGTAAGATGAAAAAAACAAACAAAAAAACCCCAACTCCTGGGTGAGGGTAAAACCACTTAGGTCCTTCCTAAAATCTTAAGTGGGAAGGCCTATGTTCCCCAAAACGCTATTTTGACTACAATAAGTTAATTCTGTTGATAACTGGGACTTTGGCAGAGGAGAAAGATATAAGGAAAATGGTATGAAAATATAAGAGGTACTCAGATGATACTTCTGAAAGTAAACCATATAATTTAAAAATAAAGACCATAATGTATGGTAAACAAGATTAAATTACTAACAAAAAAGATCACAATTACAAAAGTAGAAATACACAGCTGAGTCTGGTGAGCGGAAGAACATCTTGGCATATTTTAAACACAAGGGACTCACAAGTTTATTACTCGAAATAATAGTATGATTTATGAACATTCAAACGGCTAATAGATGTATTTTATATAAATATCCAATTTCTTATTAAAAATGTGGACAATCGATAACTGAACACACTGTCAACTCATCATTTACTGTAATAATCTACTTTTACTGTCACAATATGGCAACGATTCAAGATGAGCAAAAGAAAGACAGACACAATAGCGTTTATAACAAACCCTTCCTTGCAGCTGAAACTCCAATCACAACCAGGAGAGTTTTTGAGAATTGCTAAATTTCCTCACCAATATTGATTGACCTTTGGCTTTATCTTATGGTTTAGGAAATTACGGTGTTTTGTTTTTTTTTTTTAAAAAAAGGAAAGGCAAATCTCCCAATCTTTCAGTTTTGAGATTATTTTAAAATTATAAGTCATATTCTCCTGACAGAAATATCACTATAGGTGCAATCATAAACTAGACCTGCTTAAGGAAGTTAGGTCTCCAAATAAACCTGAACTTCCATCAAGCAACCTGTCATCCTCCACCTTGCTACGAAGTGCAAGTATTTAATAAATTCACACTTCAGAGCTTCAACGCAGAGGAAGACACGTTATCTCCCAATGTTTGAGAGGCCTATGGAAAAAGATATTTTACCAGTGTAACTGGAATCAGGATAATGTGAGATAGAATAAGAATATTTGAAGTTGAGCTCAAATTTTGTACCTAAAAGTTCACATTTAAAAAAAGGTTCAAATTAAAAAAAAAAGGAAAAGTTTGTCTGCTTCTCAACGAAGAGATTTAACTAATCATTTTTTTTTAATCCCTCTGTGCAAATGTCTCCTAATCTGAGAAACACAGAGTAATATAACTGCTACTTTTTGGGTATTCTAATATTTTTTGAAATAATGAGAGAAAAGGTCATTAGTGACATCCATGGTGGCTCAGGATGGGCAATCTCCTTCCATCCGATTCACAGCCTCTGAAAACCCTCTGGATGGTCAGTTATGAGTTGGGTCTGACTCGACCACACACAACAATAATAAATTGTAAAAGAAATTCTGCAAATTTTTCTTAAATAATTTTTAAATTGTTAATTTTGTTAACATTTACAAAGCATACTGAGTTTTCACTTCAAATCAAAACAGAAAAGAAAATCACCACTTTTTTACTAGAAATGATATCTTGGCTAAAAAAAAATTCACTTATTTCTAGCTTAAAATTTTTATCTAACAAAATATAAGGCATCTAAAAACTGAGAGAGCCCTTGACAGTTTATTACTTGCCTGAAGGAATGACTGGATCAACAATGAAACTGAAACAGCCATGTGATTCAGGAATTAAATCTTTCACAATATTAATGAAAAATGTGCTGTTGGAAATGGTTTGGGTCCTATGTCTGCATGTATGCATGTACGCACACATTTTGGTTTCTCTTTTCTTCTTCAAGAGAAAACAAAAAGTACTTCAGAGGATTTACCAGGTAGGCATTGCACAAACACTGGGTGATATAGGGTGAAAAAATTACCACACAAGTCCCCTGGGCACCAATAAATGAGGTAAAAATATTTGTTTTGATTTGGAAAACAAACGATAAACACAATGAATAGGAGAGAACTTCAGACTGAAGAAACCATTTCATATGGAACAGAAACAGTAATAAATATATTCTATTCGCCTAACACACACACTACATTACTTAAAAGCATATTATCAGTTATGAATTAAGTAGAATGAGATGCTTGTTAGTATATGCTTAGAGATGACTGGGTTAGTCAAGTTAGTGAACTCTGTACCTTCTCCTATGAATGAGAGGTCTCCTGACAACATCCCCAAGAACTCGCATTGAACTGAAAATGAATGGTTGAAGAGGTCAGTGTCACAGGTGAAACAAAACCAGAAACAACAGTAATAAACACAGACACCAAACTAGGAAGAGAGACAGTCTCTAAAGAGAAACAGTACAGGACGGAAGGGGATGAGAAGGTGGAATGGGAGAAATAACAGAACCAAAAAAACACCCATTTCTACAGAGAGACACTGCTTCTTGCAATTATGATACGACAATGAACAGATTTAATAAATTCTAAAGGTAAACACCTGAGTATGTAAAAACAGGGAAAAAAACGGTCATTAAAAACTAACATTTTTTTAAGTTTTTAAAATTCTGTGCTAGGTAATTCTTAATCTTAACTGCAGCTATGAGATTCCACAACACTGTATACATTGAAAACATAAGTTCAATCTTTAGATCACTGGGCAAATCATTCAACCTGAGCTTCAATTTTCTCATCTGAGCAATTCACATCTAGCTCTGAAACTAAAGTTAAAGGATCCACCACACATTATGAAGCAAAATGTATTACAATTAAAATAAACACTAGTGCCTTAACAATATTAAATTTTGGCAAAAGGAATCATTTCCCAGTATGAATAAAATGGAAAAGCAAAGCTGTGATAGCTTTTTAGATAATCTAAGATTTCAAATGCATATAAAATCATCTAAATGTTAACATTCGTAACTTATTTTGAAGATCAGCAATCTGAACCCCACAACAGAGTAATAGGGACTCGCAGAAGAAGCATTTGATTACGAGACCATAAACCTGGATTCTAATAACCTTGGGTAAGTGGGTATATGCACTAGTATCATTTATAAAAAGGAGGGTAGGACTACCTGATTCATGGGAGGATAACAATTCTATATTATTGAAGGAGTCTAAGAAGACTAGCGAATTAAGAAAGTGATATGTAACAGATCAAGACCTTTGTCTTGTTTACTCTTTAACTCCAGAACCTGGAGCAGTAAACTATAAACTTGTTAAATGAAAGAACTGATAACAGTCTATATGATTACAGCCATAAATTTCAGGCTACAATAATAAAAACCCCTCATACAATTAATGGTTCCGGCTACCTTGTTTACATCAAACACTCTGAAAGCATAGATATGGGGTGGTAAGGCCCTCAAGTTCTGCTTAGCTGCTTTCCCTCATTAAGAGACTGCTTTTGGTGTGCGCACACTGGGCTCAACGGCTTCCTGCTCTTAGCCCTAAAGCACCTGCTTCAGTGCATGCAGGCAGCTCATAAACAGTAAGGAGCCAAGTCCAGGGTTCTGAACCAGTTCATTCCTGTTCTACTCCTTGCTGAGAACCTGCACGCCCACTTCAGATACACTGAACCAGAATCCCTGTTTAAACCAGATTCACGGCTGATTCTCAGAGATGCTCCTGGAAGCCCTGGCCACATCTAACTTCTTTTTTCTTAGCTTGCTTTTGAATGCGGGAAAGTCTAGGTTACTGTCATGAAACTTCTCCATGATCAAAGGATACAGAACAAATATACTGTTTTACAGTAATGAATGGTTTTTATACTAATTTGAGAAGTAACACGGTTAATTCAGAGTTTATTAACATTTTTATGAATTAGAACTATATGACTTTAATTCTGGTAGACTTAGATGTACTGAGACTATAAGATTTCATAGTTATTTCTGAACTAAAAATTGACTTAAAATGATTCCCTTTTTTATTTGCTAACCTATGGATTCTACTGATAAAGCTGCTAAGAATAAATGTTACCATTTATAAAACATTTATTAGGGGACATATTCTTTTAAATATTCTGAAAGACAAGAATTTTACAGATAAGAAAATGAAAACTGAGGGGCCAAGGGCCCATGGTCATCTAGGCAATAAAGTTAGAGGCCTGGAGTCCGAACACAGACCTTCCTGATTTCAACATCCTCATTCTTAATTCTGTACTATAGCATCTCCTAAAATCTGTCAACTGCAATATCAATCAGCTACTTTTTAGAAGTAGCAGACACAGACACAGGACAAGGGCCTTCCTGCTCACCTCCGGTGGTTCATTTCTGCATCGCTGGCTGCATTCTTCCCGGGACCCCAGCTGTGCCTCCGGAAAGGGGACAGAGAGCGCATAGAGCTCCTCAGGACAGAGCAATGTGCAGGCACCTCGGTGATGCTGTCCATCTCCTCCTCGTCCATGTCACCTGAGCCAAGAGGCTCATTCTCATTCTCTTGCTTCCCAGCTCTTGTCCCATGATTGCAGAAACCATCAAGGCCCTGGGGAACCTTGGACTTGCTCAAAGTTGCAATCTGGGAGAGGGACACATCACTGCCATGAGAAGAATGTCGGTCCAAGGAGGCTGTGTCATCGGTGGAAGAACTGGACCCAGTGATGTCACAGACCAACTGCTCTTCCTCGGGCTGTAATGGAGAGAAAGCACATGTGGCTTAACACAGCAGGAGAAAGCAGACAGCCTGGGCTATTTCAGACCAGGAATATGAAGTAAATGACTTCCTAGAGGGCCTGATAGAGGTTAAGACCACAGTTTGGCTTCAAGACACAGACTTTGTTTTCTTTTGTATGAAACAATTCATGCCCTTTTAATTTTGAGTGAAAGAATGGTTTATCTTCTTTCATAGTAGTTACACTTGTAATTAGAGTTCTATCTTTTTTTTTCTTACACTTAAAGTCAAATAGAATCTATCAACATCATCAACTGAAATGAAAGGAATTCATCTGTCTCTGGGGTTTCTGCTAAACAAAAACTCCAAATTCAAACCATATTGTTTGCTCTTCCCAAAAGCTTTAACTGGAAACAGGGCAATCAGCCTGGCCACAATAATTACATGCTAATGATTGCTTCTAGTGGCTTTGTGAAAGTTTATGATCATACTACCTAAAACAACTGCTTGAATACCATCATCTGAATACCTGCTGCAAATTCCTAATGGTAGAAAACAGTTGTTTTCTCATTTCACTAACAACTTACTGTTATCAAGCTAAACCATAAATAAAATACTAATTTCTGGCACTAGGGTCTTTGCTTTTTTCCCTGGTGAAATCCTAGGGCCTAATAGGAACTGGGAAACTTTGGTCCTAGCATCTTAACATTCTGTGTCTGTTGAAAAGACATCAGAACGTGTAATTTGCTGAGCAGCTGGTGGTGCAACCTGTGTGCCTTTGGAATCACAGCACAGTTTCTTGCCACCAGGGCTAGGGTTGTGTCACTATGAGTTGTAGTCAACTTGATGGGACCTAACAACAATGTTTCAGTGTTTTAATTATGTCTCAGTGTTTTAATTATGACTAATGAACTTTAATAGTTCTTTTAGAAGCATAAAAATTTATCAGAACAAATAAGCTCTGCCAACTTTGGAATAGAGAACAATTCTCTATCCTAGTAGAAGTGTCTCTTTTAAACATTAATATAGCACTTAAAATCATACTTTATACTTTCTGGATTGGATCTTACAGATAACTTGGATTTATTCCCCCCCTCCACTCTATAGAACTCAGTAGTGGGAATGACCTTAAAATGGTAAGTGATGGTTATAAGAGAAAAAGCAGAAGAGTTCACTAGGCAGCTCTGGAGAGTCAGGCCCAAGGACACTGCCTCAAGTACACAGATGCAGATGAGAGGCAAAAAACAAGATGTGAACCCAGGTTGATTTTAACTCAAATTGCCCATAGTGTTATTTCAACTATCTCGACAAAAACCTGGAAGAACAAAATCCGAACAGCTGTATAAAGAATGCTTTCAATGTTTTCCTTCCTACGCCACAGTATAAATCAAAACTAAACACTGGTAAGGGAGCTCTGGAGCCCGAGTGGTAAGGAGGTGTGCTGCCAACACAAAGGCACGTGGCTGAAAGTTCCCAGCTGCTCCATGGGAGAAAGATGGGCAATCTCCTCTTACACGATTTACTGCACCTGAAGGCCACCTTCAGGTCAGCTATGAGTCAGTTCCAACAAAATAGCATATAGCAACAACAAAAATCACGGTTTGATTGGCCGCCTAATGTGTTCAATGCTTCTGCTGTAAAAGAATATCATTTGTTGTGTACTGTCTAGGATCTTCAGCTTGCAAGCATCCAAGCAAGGTATGGCCTCTCTATCTAAAACAAAAGAGGAAGGAGAATCAAGAACAGAATGAGGATATGAAATGTGTCCCCAGCGAACTGTCTTCCTGAACAACGGCTGCCATGGATGATACTTGATTACCATCACCGAACATTCTAATCAAAGATTTGATAATACTACTCAAAAGAGGGAAAATGAATGCAGGATTTCAAATTCTCATGAAATCCAGCTTTTCTAAGGCCCTAGAAGCTGGATGAACCCCTGAAATTATTGCCTCGAGGTAACCTTTAAACGTTAAACTAAAAATACTGTCTTATGTCTTTTAATAGCAAAATATTTTGTTTTCCTAGTAAACAACGTCTGCCTTGGGCACAGCACTCTTTTAGAATCTATCTATGTGAGAACAAATGGATAATTCAAAAGATTAGATGGGAAATCTAAAGAGACTTATGTTAATGAGACAGAAGAACTTACATAAGGAGGTTGGGAGTGGTTGTACAACTCAAAGAATAATCCATTTCAATAGACTGTACAGAGAGAAACTGCTGAATTGATGTTTATTCTTTGTGCATACTAAAATAACCAAAACCTAAATAAATTATGTTTAAAAAAATCCCTAATTCATCAAGTATAACAGGGTTGTTGTTAAGTGCTGCTGAGACCAATATAACACACAGTGATCCGATGAACAACAGGTCTGAGCCCTCTCCTATCCTGCGCCGTCCTTATCATCCCTGGCACATGTGAGCCCATTACTGCCGTCACTGTATCAGCCCACCTTGCTGAGGGTTTTCCTTTCCTTTGCCAACTGTCCATCATTCCAAGCATGATGCCTCTTTCCAAGCAACAGCCTCCCCTAACAATATGTTCAAAATATGTGGGGCAAAGCTTCACCATCTTTGCCTCCAAAGAGCATACGGGTTGCACCTTCTCCAAGACTATCTGTTTGTTCTCTTGGAAGTCCATGGGTATTCAGTACTCTTCTACTTCACTAAACCTCATAAAGGCATCAATTCTTCTTCTGTCAGCCTTATTAACTGTCCAGCTCTCGGAGGCAGAGCAGGTGACTGGAAAAATCATGGCTTGCCTGAGTCATGCCTTAAATCTTTAAACTGACATCACTGCTCTTTGGTAGAGGTTCCTAACAGCAGACTTCCCCAATTCTATACATCTTATGATCTCCTAACTTCTGGTTTTCAAAGGATATTGACTGAGGATCCAAGTAAGACGAAATCGCCGGCAATTTCAATCTTTCCCCATCTAGCATGATGTTGTTTACTGGCCTATTGGTGAAGATTTTTGTTTTCTTGATGTTGAAAAGTAATCCACATTGAGGGCTGTGGTCCCTGATCTACAGCAATTGCCTCAAACCCTCCTCACTTTCAGCAAGCAAGGCTGTGTCACTGCATAAAGCACACAGTGGATTAGCCTTCCTCCAATCTCTACACCACCTTCTTCATAGTAATTTATTTTAAGCTAATGAGTAGGCTGACCAGTCTATCCTGACGCATCCCCTACCTACACAGGATATGTAAATATCATGCATACTAGCGTAGGGAATACTTTCAGAATATCTTAGCTTTCTCATTCCCTAGTTTTCTATATTTCCATTCTCAAAAGTCCTTGGAAAAAAGATACCATCAAGGGACAGGTGGAGGGTCACAGAAAGAGAGGATGATCCTCAATGATATGGGCCAACACAGTGACTGTAACAATGGGCCATGCCTATCAGAGACGGTGAGGATGGCACAGGGCATGGCAAGGTTTACCTCTGATGTTCACAGAGCTGCTCTGAGTCGTAGAGGCCTTGACGGGCCTAACAACAAATCGGCAGAACAGTATCAAGAGACAAGTGGAGTGGGCAGCAACAAAGAAAAACACGTGAGAAGCCTGTCTTAAAACATAAATGCTTCAAAGAAAAGAAAAGAGCCAAGGTAGAGTTTCCATTTAAGCTTCCCCAGTAACGTATCTTTACCTCTGACTTCATCAACAAACCAAATGACAAGGGAATCTTTTGATACTGATGACATAATTTCTTCAACCCTGAAAAGAAATAAGCTTCTGCTGTATAACACAGTCTCTTTTTTATTATTTTTTAATTATTATTCTTAATTTTAATGAAAAATTACAGGGATTTTTTTTTATTTCCATTCATTTATTGTTGCACTTTTCTCCCTGCCAACTCCTCCCCTCCAGTTCGTTCTTCTTTTTGAAAAGTAAAAGAAAAATTCATTGTTATACAATCCCTTCCCCAAAGTCCACTCCACTATGCAGCCTTTGTTCTGGACTCCTGTCATGACAATAATACCTAATCATATATGCCCTTTAAACAGTTCTCTCTCATCTATTTTGTATAACAACATTCTTACAACAAAAAAAGTACTTCAGAGTAAGAATATTTTATCGAGCAGTTATTCGAAGAAACAATAGAAAGTACTTGAGAATATCTTCCAATTCTTGTATGAGCCAGTTAATGTTTTTTGAAAATGAAAAATGAGACAAAATTCAGAAATTAGTAAGACTGAAAAACAGTACCAGGAAGCTAAGAAAATGGCTGGGGAATGTCACAGTACACTTGTTGTTAAATGCCACTGAGTCGATCAAGCCTGACAACTCATAGCGACCCTATGAACAAAAGACCTTAACCCGGTACTTCAACTATGCTCGTGTCTCTATGTTTGTAGAGTTTCCAGAGGCACGTGGTTTAGGAAGTGGATGCCACTTCTGCTTCCAACAGTACAAATGAGGCGGCAGGGGGAAGAATCTGTGTTCAGGATATATTCTAGACAGATGTCTGCTTTAATTCATGTGGACATGTTGGTCTGTGCTGCTCAGTGTGGACGGACATAGGTGACCCTCTAGAGGGTTTTCAGATGCCGTAAATGTCATAGGAGATTGACTGTCTTTTTTCCCCAAGGCGCTGCTGCTCGACTTGAACTGCTTGCCTTTGGTTTAATAGAGTAACTTCTTACTACTAGGCCACTGTTGCTGTTGTTGTATACCATCAAGTCAGAACTGACCCATAGCTGACCCACCAGCGGGTTTTCAGAGGCAGTTAACCACATGGGAGGGAGACTGCCTGTGTTCCTCTTGTGGAGCAGCTGGTGGATTTGAACCATGTGCCTTTAGGACTGCAGTGCAATTTCTTACCACTAGGCCACCAGAATGCCCTTATTTATGTATAAGTTGAAAAAAGTTAGTTATAGTTTCTGATACACAGCATAAAGTCCCATGTCTAAGATTTGAAGTTTTTTTCAAGACTTTGAGTCAGTTTTTTGTTAGAGATATTATTTTTATTTTAAAATGTCAGTTAATTATGTAATTTTCAGGAACGTAGGGT